ACAAGCAAAAGGGATGTAGATGGGAAGAGGTAGGGAGGACTGGCAGAAATACACAGCTGCACAGCTTATTTCTCTCTGACTGCATGGAGGGGAGTCTATTGTGAATTGTACTGATTATACCTGAAAACTTGCACCCAGCTTTTGCTGCTGCGTTCCCTGAGGCATGAGAATCTGTGCATGTCTTGCACTCCCAGCCATCATTTTGGTGCCCTTTAGTTTTGCCTTATCTGTGTAATATGCAAGTTTGTGTAATACATGGGATTGCCTCCCATAGGAGCTTTCAGTGCTCCAGCTTTAGAGCTCTTTGATTTCCTTGCACATCACACAAGGCAAAACCACAAAGCCTTGATTTTACAGAGAACAGCACAGAGCATTATGTGAGGGTCAACTAATTTTATGGGTTTCCAGAAAGTGATGCTAAAAGAAGAAAAGACCTGCCCTTACTGCTGATAGCAGAAGAGGTTGTTATTTCTATCAATAGGAGCAGGGCAATAGGTAGTATTTCTCCAGTGCAGTGTGGCCTGCTGAGAAAAAGACTTTTGAGGTCTCAAGGAAGAGATTTTGTATGGAAGGATATGCAGGAAACAAGGCAGTATGAGGGGTTATTGTGAAGCACAATAACTTCCCATCTAGTAGCAGAGCAATCTTTCTGCTTGTTTCCCAGAATTTGTGTAATGGCAGTAAATCCTTGCTGCTCTCTTCAGGCGTGAGGGACATGAAGTTGCATGCACAGCACTTCTCTGCAAGTGGAAGCTTGTTCTTCCTTACAGAGGTGTTTTGTCACTGAATTTTTCATGGTTTCAACTTTCACAGGCTGATTGGGAAAGTCCCAATTCCCACCAAGGGACATGACTGTCTAAGTCATGGCTCAAGGGAGGCCGGGGAGGAGGCAGCCAAGGGAGAGCTGCAGTGGGCAGTTCTCTTGTAAAGGCAAGGAGCCGCACTACTTCTTTTCTGTCGTGTGCAATCACTCATATGTCACTGCAGACACTGCATTGTTTCCGTGTAGTTCCACCAGTGCAGAGCAGGCACAGCACTTCACAGGACCTTGAGATCCCATGCAGTCCTGCATGTGACACTGTGTCAGTGTATCAAGTCTCACTTGGTCCTGGACATCCAGGGGCAGGCAGGGACTCGAAAATGCTCTGGACATCTGTGCTTACTCTGTGTTGGGGATCCAACTCGTCAGCACTGGATGCTGCTAGAGATGAGAAACAGCCCTTTCCGTTGCCTAATTTCTTAATTTTAGCTCTCCACCTTAAGGCCACGCATTGTTCGTTGCCATGGTGATCCTTCACCACAGGCATTGCCTTTGGCTTTCTCGCCTTCGGGTACCTTGGAAGTGTCTTTTTCCTCCTTGCTCCTCAAGAGGCAACAGCTGAGGCAGAGGCATTGTATGCGACTGCTCAGGTCTGTCAGCTCAGCTCTCCTGCTTAGTGTTTGCCTGTTAACATGCAAGAACCTTCACCCACGGGATTACACTTCCCAGCCCTCCAAAAGCATTGTGTATTCCTATTCCCATTCAGTAGACAAGCTGGGCTGTGCATACGTGATGCTGCCCTGAACTCCTGGCCCTTGAGTTGTTGGGAACAGCTTTCTCCATGGTCTTTGCCAGAGAAAATGTCTGGGGAGGTCATGCCCCTGCAGGGTGAAGAGTCAGAGTGCCCCTGTGCTGTGGCAGACATTCCAAAGGCATAGGCCCTCCTGCCCTGGCTTCATCCTCACTGCTTTTACACCTTCCCACTTGCTGTCTGGACAGCAGAGGAGTATGTGAAAGCATTGCCCAGAGAGAGAGCTTGGGCACCTCAGTCGAGGCAGAAGAGAGGAACTGCCTTGCCAAGGCTTGCAGTGGAAATGCTGCCATGCAGCAATTAATAACGACTCTCTGCCCTTTCCCTTCCGCCTGCCCAAGCACGCTGTAGACTGGAATGGGCGACCCTTCCCATGCACAGGATGACAGAAAAAGCAGAGGCAGCTCTCAGGGACAAAGACGTGTAAAAGCTGTGACTCCAGCCCCCAAATCCTGATATTAATTAATTTAAGGACAATGATGTTGAAACACTGTGGAGTCTTTTTTAAAATTTAAACTTTCAGAATTTAAAAATTTGCAGTTCATATTTTCAAGCTTTTACAAGTCAGTGCAAGGATAAGCTATTTAATATTAAAGTGGCAGCTGCCATCCTCACTCACATGACTCCAGTAGGTTGAAGCTTTTTAAAAAGCAAATATGACAAGGTCCAAGGTAAGATCAGAATATCTGTCACAAGAAACCAGTTTAGCTGGTAGCTTCTGGGAGATCACCAGAGAACTGGGAGATTTTAAAGCCTCATTTGCAGACCCCCCCACTCTACTCATCCAGTCATCCACCTCCCGTCCCTGTTACACTCTCAGCTGTGCACAAGAGACTCCCACATTTGCTGGGAAGGCAGCCAGGAGCTGCTAGAAAGAGCTCCCACCCTGTGGTTATGCCACAGCTGGGTTTGAGAAACCCTCTGCCAGAGTGAGAGGGCAGGCAGGCAGAGCAGCTTGCTTCCTTTCTTCCTCTGGCTGAATCCTGAGGTGGAGAAAGCCATGCTGGAATGTGGCAATCAGCTCCAATCCCCTGCCAGCCTAGGGCAACTTAAGGCAATAAGAAGCAGCAACCAGAAATTTGTATTGCTTCGATTAATAAGAAAAATCAAAGTAATGTGGCCTTCTAGCCTGACAGGTAGCAGAGTGTCTTCAGAAGCTGTTCTGGTGGTGTCACTCTGCCAGCATCCCCAGCCTAGGCTCCAAGTGACCGCCCATGGGGAGAGGAGTCCTGCAACCTGAGCTTGGGCACTGTGGATGCTTGTTGAGGCCAGCTGCATTGTAGCAGTGCCTTAAGTCCCAGCCAGGAGTCAATAGCCAGGTTTGGCATTGGTGGGCATGGACCGGAGGTGGCTGCTGGCAGTCCTACCTATCCGTGGGAGAGGCAGAGTACTGCCATCTATTGCCAGGCACCTGGATTACAGACCTCGCTGGGTGGCCATTCAAATCCATGCCCAGCTGGTTTTTTTTCTGTCTTTGATTGCTTGAAGGGATTGACAAGTTGTTCAAAACCCCTTAAATGGATCAGCACTTTGGTACCTACAGTGCATTTTAGGTGTGTGAGTGCTCAAAGTCAGACTCTAGCCTTGGACAATTCGGGGTTTTCTTTGTGCATTTTGCAAAATGAGCTATTCTTCCTTCCCTGCCCTGAGTTGCATGAAGTTGCTTTGTGCAGTGAAGTACTCCTGTTGTTCCATCCCACCCCAGAAGCGCCCAGTTCATTTATCCCAGCCCTCCACTGGAAGGTGACTAGAGAGAGGTGGATGCAGTAGAAGGGACTTGTAGCTCAGAAAGAATATGTGAAAGGAGATGAAAAGGCAGAAGGAGAGTGATGCTATCTTCGTGGGGAGAACAGGCCTGAGGCATGGGATACATTTCTCAGTTAAGACTGCCACGTCCAAATACTGTATTTGACAGAATAAACAGCAAAATAGGAACACCTGCAGAGAGTAAAAAGGATGTTTGTCACTATGTGAATCTGGAAGGATTCCTGCAGTGCTTTGAAAAGACCTTCTCAGATTTGATGAATTGTGCAGTAGGCCAGCAAACAAACTATTCTAAAGACCAGGGCAAGGTTATTCAGAAAATGATCTGGCTGTCTCTATGGGCTGTTCAGTAAAGACAGCAACTCTCTGTGAAACTGCGGTTTAAAAGCAGAACAAACAAAAAATTAGGATAAAGAAGAAACAGGAGGAAAAAAATATGTTCAGCATTTGTCAATAATGCTTGCTCTTCTGACAAATTCTGTTCCTTTTTCATCACCTATCTTTAGAAGTATTTGATGGAGGTACAAAGATGCCACGTATGAGCAGAGTATAAGAATAATAGATGAGAAGGTGAAAAAACATTTTTGTATTAGAGGGAAGGAACACAGCAGATGTGATTGACTTATCTTACTGATTATTTTTCGTTCCTCAATCTTCTTTCTGATGCATAACTGTTGCAGAAGCCAGTTGGCTGGCATAAACCAGATATTCAACATACAGGTGGAAAATGTTAGATAAAATGAGAGTCACAAAAGAAATTAATGACAAAACAGGGAATAAAGCCAGGTTCTTCAAAGTCTGAACCCCTGGAACTACCTTCTCTTTTAAAAGGCTTTTTTAAAGTTATTAAATGGATAAAAATAAGTGGTAGTTGTATCAAAAACTTGATTAGGTGTCCATGCTAGGTGTCACCAGTTTAGGAATGCTGTGGGACTCCAAGAAAAAAAAAAATAAAATATATGACAGTTATGTGAACAACAGTACTTGTCATGACTTTGTCTAGGAGAAAACTGTAAAGAGTATAAATTGTGCTGCTGGGCATAAGTCAACTGCAGGCTGTCAGGAACAAGGAAGGAGTTTTCATTATGGGAGGATTACTGGATAATTATCTCATCCATGACAGTGTTCTTCCTTTAAAGTGTTTAATCTTGACCAGTGAAAGCAAGATAACGCATCATGTAATTTTGTCACTTTTTTGTGACAAGGACATTGCCTGATGGTAATTTCTTCTGCCTGTTTGCCTTTCTCTACGGATATGTTCACCTTCTTCCTAAGTGTCTCAAGCAAAGACATTTCTGCTCCATACCCTCTATGGAAAGAAATTTTAAAGACTGCAGTCTTTGACATGAGAAAATTATTCTTGCCATTCTTGCTAGACTTCCTCTTGCTCATGTTTGCTCGAATTCTCCCAGGTGATTTTCCAGGAATAACCTTAAGGAAACCCTGTATTCTTAGGACTGTAGCCCTTGTTCTTGTGTCTGCTCTTTCTTATTGTCTGAGCTGTCCATCTATTGAAGTCATCTCTCTCTTGTTCTGTCATCCTCCCCTTAACACCATGGTACCTTTTGGTCCTGATACCAGTTAAATGTGTTATTTGTTTTTAAACTGTGTTGTTACTCTTCTGGGCAATTATGTATTTTATGCCTCTGACTTTGTATCTTGCAGGAAGAGCCAAGGAGCAAATCTAAGATCTGTGCCAATGTTTTCTGTGGAGCTGGGCGTGAGTGTGCAGTGACGGAGAAGGGAGAGCCAACCTGCCTTTGTATTGAGGTACGCGAGCAGCACAGGTTCTGTGTCTGGGACAGGTGCCACCACCATCATCCCCCAGATGGGTTTCTGTCCCTGGAAGGACCCCATGATGGAATAAGGCTATGGCTGTTTTGAAGCAGCTGCAAATTTACTGTGGCTCTTCAAACAGCAGGACTGTTCCCAGTGTTGTGTGGGAGAAGAGCCCTGTAGGGTAGATATGGTCTGGGACTCACTGATGTGCTGCTCACAGGACTGCCTAGGGTCTTTACATGCACAACAGACTTGACTGGAGGTCTTTTGTTGGGAAAGCCCAGTGGGGTATGGATATGCAGCTGGCTTTGAAGGGCACTAGGGAGTGGTCTGTGAGCTCCAAGACAGCCTGCCCTCACTGGAATCTAGTTTGAGGAGGTTACAAGCACCCTACTAAAAATCAGCTTTTGTAAAATGGAAATAATTGTGGTAGAGTGCTGTAAGGATGAATAGCTTTATCCAGCAGGGAGTCAGAGATTATTAGAAGAGCCTTTCCCAGCTGTAGAGACACAGTGTCTCCCTACTCCACTCTGCCCCATGCCTTCAAAACATTTCTGCCTGGCTCCTGGGAATGGCCATGTGGCTCTTTGTTCCGTCTTCCCTCAGAGCTTGCAGGTCTGGCATGACCAGCCTGGGCACTGGAGAGTGAAATGCCCCATTAGCAGGAAGAGAGTCTGTCATTCCAGGTAGGCTTGGCCAGACCAAAAGGGACGGAAGAAAGAAACTTATAGCCTGAACAGTGGCACTGGTGAGCTCTCTCTTTGCTGTAGCCTGCGCTGTTTGTTCATGGCTGATGGCTTATTCTGCCATTTGGTTGCAGAAGGGTGGAACAGAGCCTACAGAGAGATGCAGTGGAGCCAAGCAAGTGCAGGTGCATAGACCAGAGGCACAGAAACACATCTGGGCAGGCATGGCCATGGCACATGGAGCAGCAGTTGCAGGATTATGTTCCATATTTATGCTGACCACTGATTTCTCTGCAGGGGTCTGCTTTCAGAAAGACTCCTGTCATGCTGGTGGTGATGGAAACTGGGATGAAGTGAAGCATTTGAACTTACACCCACAGACTTCCCTGTGTGGGTTTTTCCGGGGTAATGATGGGTCAGTTAGCCTGTTCCAAACACAGGGGCAAGGGGACTATGCCAAGGACTTCTCTTGAGCTGGGCTGATGGTTGGACTCACCTGACTCCCTCTAGCTGTCCCAAGGAGGCAGGTGAAATGCTGTGCTCTCTGGCTCTCCCACAGAAATGCAAACCTCACAAGAGGCCTGTGTGTGGAAGCAATGGCAAGACGTACCTGAACCACTGTGAGCTGCACCGTGATGCCTGCCTCACTGGCTCTAAGATCCAGGTGGATTATGATGGCCACTGCAAAGGTAACCCTGGCAAGGAGGACTGGCTACACTCTCAGAGACAGAGTTGGAAGGGAAGCATGATAATGATGCAAGGCAGAGGCCTCACCAACCGAGCCCGACCTTGTCCCACAGTTGCTGAGTGGAGTAAACAAGGCAAGACTCTGAACAGTAGCCAGAGTCAAGCAAGAGTCCAGATGATCAGGCAAGCTGGCAGTGATGAAGTAGGCCTGAAATCAAGTCATGAAGTCAGGGCTGGTGATTCTGGCCAGAATCAGCCAACAGCCAGACGAGCTCATACTGATGCAGTCTGTAGCAGGGCTGAGATCAAGATGGGAACACAGTCACCAGATCAGGGCCTGGATCAACAGTCTATGGAAGAGAGTGGTTGCAACAGAGCTGGAGGCAGGCATGGCTACAACATAATAATCACAGGCAAGGATTAGGAGTTGAGGCATCAAATATGAAATGGAGCCTCATGGCTCACAGTTAGAGAGTATGGACGGAGGCTCTAGTTGAGGCCAGCAGGGTCATTAAGGCCTTCATTAATAATCAAAACCCTGACACCTTGACTGTGGAAGGACCTTGGAGCTATTGTCTCCCTAAGCTTCTGGGAGTGTGGCACTCAGGAGACTAAGGCAACCATTTGCTCCTGCTGCCTCACTCTGAGCTTTTGGATTTAGCCAGGTAAATGTCTCAGTTTTACTGCTGAGGAAAAGTCATGCTCTGAGGATAAACTCCTGAAACCAATACTATTATCCATAAGGAGCCTCAATAACTTTAGAAGCAAGGATTTTGCCTCATCAGTGAACCTGTTTAACTCCCCCCCACACACAACAGCTGCATGGTGTTCTTGTGTTTAGACAGTTTCATGTGTTTCAATGTGTGTCCACTGTCTCTTGCCCTGTCACTGGATACCATGGATAAGAGTCTGGTGCAGTCTTCCTCATTTCCTTCCATCAGATTTCTAAACATTGATGAGATTGTCCCCGAGCCTTCAATTCTTCAGTCTAAATTGTCCTCAGCATCTCCTCAGGGTCCAGGGGACTCCAGACCCTCAGTCTTGTATGTGGCCCTCATATATCCAAAGATTCCCAGGTTCCTCTACTTTTACCCGTGGTGGGAAGAGATTTGTATTGCTTCATACTGCATGAGAAATGTCCTCTTCTCTTTTTCCATTAACAGAGAAGAAGTCTGAGAATCCAGCTGCAAGTCCAGGTAAGAAGCTCTGTCCTGTTTTGCTGAGGCCTCTGCATGAATTTGTATGCTCTGGGAGATGGGCAAGAGGATATGCTGGGGGAGTGCAGGCCTCTGTGAAAAAGCCATATCCTTCATGGGCTGTAGGAGAGTCTGAGTTGATAAATCAGTTGATAAATGTGATTGCCCCGCTCTTTACCTTTAGGTAACCTCTCAGAGCTCATACATCTCCTGGGCTTTTCACTGTGCTGGGATGTCTCAGGGACTCAGCATAGACAAGGTGCAATGAAACCCAGTTTGCCCCCAGGGACTCACACCATGCTCATCACCCAGACAGGGATGGAGCGCTATTTTACCTCCTTCATTGGGGATCTAAGACCGTAATTGTGGAGCTGTTGTCCCCAACTCCAAGAGCACTCTTTGAAAAGGAAACTTTGCTTTAGGAATGATGAATCAATGGGTGCAGAGGCAGAGTCAGGAGGTACAGCTGAACTGCCTCTATCATCAGCCAACAAGATGATCTTAAGAGTCTCTTTTAACCTAAATGATTCTATGCTCACCTAAATTATAAGTCTCTTCGATTCCCTGTGCTTGGTTTCTCCCCTTATGTATTGCCATGTGTCCTTAACACTGGATTTTAGGGCCATGGTTTGTCATCAGGAGAGCCTTTTCCCATTCATGACCTCTAAGTACTGGAGCTGTGTGATCATCAACTTTAACTTCCTAGGACAGATGAGAGCAAAGCCTCATACAAACTAAAGAGGAAGGACCATGTCAGAGCACGGCCACCACTGTAAGGCAGTTTTAAAGAAGTACAAAATTAAACATACAGAATCCCGACAGAGCTGGTTTTTTTTCATCTCTCCATCTGGTTGTGATAGTAGTCACTGGATTCAGAAGATCCTTAGTGTGTCTAAGTGATGTGAGTGCACACTGATTCTTTTTCTGGTTTTGCTGACCACTGGGCAGGTGTGACAATTCACAGATAGACTTTTGGTTTTGTTTCTAAATGCATGGTTTGTAGCACACGAAGAGAAATCAGGCAAGCACAGTGAGTGAACAAGTCCAACTTGACCCCCCTCTCTTTTGTCAGAGTGAACAAATCAGGGCTTTGAAGAAACAATATTTCCTGAGATAATAGGCCATAAAATTCAAGTCTTGGAGACAGAGTAGTAGAAAAGCTTGGTCAGTCTAGTCTTCACCCTTGCGAGGATAGAGGTTTTGGTATTTTAGTGTTGACAGCTGAATGACAATTCTACACAGGGTAGGGAAGCCCGGGGATATTGCCAGTTACCTTCCTCCCTCAGTCTGGGACTGTTCATATCAAGATAAGTCAGCTCCGGGTTGTTCTTCCACAAGTTTCGGGAATGGGAAGAAAGAGCTTCGGCAGGAGTGTTGTTTTCCAGCCACGCCACATGGTGTCACCAACAGCCCATCCACTTCTCAGCACATGACACATCTGCTTGGATCTGGCAGTGATGTAACTCCGAGGACTGGACTGAGGGGCTGCAAGCTGCCATCAGGGCAGGCTGAATGGCTTTTATTTCCAGTCCTATCTCTATATCTCCCTGCCAGCTTGATTTCTCTTACTTTTGTTTTTCCTTCTGCTGCACTGTCTCCTGTTAGTTGTCTGCTACCAGTCGGACAGGGACGAGCTTCGTCGCCGGGTCATCCACTGGCTGGAAGCTGAGATTATCCCAGATGGGTGGTTCTCCAAGGGCAGTAACTACAGTGAAGTCCTGGACAAATATTTCAAGGCAAGTAGAGCAACACCTGCCTCAGAGCCCAAACAACATTTCTCATCTTGTCACTGCATAATAGCTGATGTGCCCCTAGCTGAGAGGCTCCAGTGTGTAATGTGCTTGTCAAACTGGGTACCAGAGGGATCTGATAAGTCCTACAGCCCGATGTGTTATTGGCTGCCTGCAGCAGCCACTGACTGAGCCACTCTCACACCTTGTGATGACCAGATGCAGAGCATCTCTGGCTCCTGGTGTCTGACCTGCCCTGAGGAAAAGGAGGAGGGCAAGCTACATGTGCCTGTAGCAGAGTTGTCTCTGTAGAGAACTAATTTCAGAGGTAAAAAGCCAGAGGAAAAGAGGTGAAAGTGCTGGAAATGCAGGAAGCTGTGGCAGGGGCTGCTAATCTTTTATTCCAGGTAGTCTCAAGGCCATGCTGAGATGGGTATAGGGGACAGTTGGGGGCCTCAAGGAATATGTCTCAGTTGTGGCTGAGAGCTGGCAGTTCCCTAATACTCTGCAGAGTGAAAGGAGCCACTTGAGTCTTGGGCCTTGCCATAATCCTGTTCTTCCCTCCTCCCTGTCAGTCTGTCCCTCAGCCCATCCACACCCCCTTCTGTAACCAGCAGATCCCAAGCTTCTCCCATGCTCCTGCAACATGTACTGCTGTGTCCCTCCCCCTCACACCTGGCTCCTGATAGAGACTTGAGAGCATTCAGGATGGAGCTGGAGGAGCAGGTGAGGAAGAGGGGAGAGCATTTAAATCATGAGCTGTTGACAGTGAGAGATTAATGGTGCCTGACAGGAATTAGCACTACAAACAAATTTGCTATGGCAATGGCACTCCCCGGTGAGACAGAGGAGCTGGTCCCCTCGCTCCACAGAGCATCCTGACATTTGCAGCCTTTAATGCTGCACTCTCTGTGGACATCTACCACCCTGGGCACTCCTGTCAGTGCCTACCAGCAGCCAAAAGTAGCAGTGTCCTGTATCAGTCCCTCTCCCTGCAAATGTGCTGTCCCCAGCCACTTTTGCAAAGTCACCCCCAGTCATGGGCTTTGCTGAAATGCATGAGCCAGCCACAGGCTTGTTTCACTGTCATTGCACAAGCTGTTCACACCTGCTGTCCCCATGCCTGTCAGCATACTGGTGATATCCTGAGGCTGCAGCTCAGAGGCAGGGAGCCTCATGTTCTCTTTACTGTCCAACTTTTTCTGGAGCACTGGTCCCAGCCACCGGGTGAAAGTTCTTATGGCAAAGAAATACCTCTGCTTGTACCAAAGGGAGAATTTCAGTGGCCAAGGTCAACAGTATGAGATTCAGTAAGGCCAAGTGCTGGCTCCTGCATTTGGGTCATAATCCCAGGCAGCACTACTGGCTGGGGAAAGAGTGGCTGCCAAGAGAGATGGTAGAGTCACCATCCCTGGAAGGGTCCCAGAAACAATTGGATATGGTCCTTGGTGCCGTGGTTTAGTTGATAAGGTGGTGTTCAATCAGAGGTTGGACTCAGTGATCTTGGAAGTCTTTTCCAACCTTAATGATTCTGTGATTCTTTGTCAAGTGGTAATCCACTTTTTCAACTACCTTATTCTTAAAGCTTTGAAACATTTTTAAAGCAGAATTCAGAGTTTGGAACAACCTGGGACAAATAAAGGCAAAGCAAACCAAACGAATTCAAACACACAGAAATTTGTGTCAGCAACAAATGTCTGCTGTCACTGGAGAAATTTTGTCATACTAAGCTGTGGGGCTCTTCATGCCCCGCATTCCTGCAAATGGCCTATTTCCTGTCCTGCATGTAGTGCATGTAAGCATTGGAGGCATAGTTGAAATAAAGCTTTTCCCTATTGTTCTTCATGGGGAGGTTTGTAGATATGGCATTGAGCTATTTCCCTCCTGGAAGCCTGATTTGTGGGGCTCACTAGGATGTGCTTTGTTCCTCAGGCAGGCCATGACCTCGAAGGACATTATTTAAAGAGGAGCAAGGCCAGTAGTGGGAAGCTGGTCCATTTTGGAGGATCTCTGTGGGAATGCCTTAATGTATATAAACAGTTTCGAAAGGCAAGAAAACTCAACAGGCTGGGTCATTAAGAGAACTGCAGTCATTTTCACCAAAAAAAAGCAGGACAAGAGGCTTCAAAGTCTAGTGGAAGTTGACATGTAGAACAGTTAGGCAGGATAATTTCCCTAGCCCCAGATGTTTCTCCTGAAACAGATAAAGGTAACAACAGTTAGTGTCTATTCCAGCATTCCTGAGAGCACTACACAAGGAGCCACAGTGAACTGCCCCAATCACACAGCAAAAATTAGGTAGCAGCAGTCTGTGTGCAGGATTAATTTTCCACTCACAGCAATGCAACTGTCTCTGAGGGGGCACAGCAGTTTCTGCTGAGTGCCCAGCACTGTGGTGTCACATCTCCAAACAGGAAAGCAAAATGCAATTACTTCTTCTGAAGTACAGCCAGGATTTTGGGGCTAAAAACACTGCTCTTCAGTGCCAGGAGTCTCGTCAGGACCTTAAGAAGTTGATGGTGAGGTGTTGTGCTATTGCATTAAATTTTTTCCCTGGTATCAGCAGAAAATTGCTTCCTATGATTTTTCCTTTTTGTCATTGTCAGAGTCCAGGCACAGTTTTGGATTTACACATATTGGAAAGCTGACACCTCCTTGAATACAGCTGGTCTGCTTTAAGGCAGGAGGTATATAAGAAAGCTAAGAGCTGGCTGAAACAAAGAGAAAAAATAGGGTTAGAGCCATAAATCAAGCAGCAGGAGGTGAATGAGAGGCAGTGGAGCTTATCTTGTGAGAACAAGGCTAGGATCATATCTCTTGTATTCTGAGGATAATGTGGATATGTTGCTGCTTTTCTCTAAGCCTCTTTCTTTGTGAAAAAGAGGGATAATGGAACTTGTCTCACCAAAGCTTCAAAATGCTATGTGCATATGGAAGAGGAAGAAGGAAGGGGTACTTTTGAACTAATAAATGAGAGCCTCTCACATCTTCCCATCTTCCCCTACAGAGCTTTGATGATGGTGATTCTCGCTTGGACTCCACTGAATTCCTGAAGTTTGTGGAGCAGAATGAGACTGCCATCAACATCACCACCTACATGGACCAGGAGACCAACAGGTTGCTTAGGTGGGCAGTGGACAGGATGCCAGAGGGAAGGCCGCGGGGGGTAGATGTGGTAGAATGAAACATGGAAATTCACTCATGGTAAATATCAATTAGGGTTTGCACTGACAGGATTAGCTGTGTACGAAGTGGCTTCTTACTTAAATAGGTGTGAACACCACACAAGAGAAGCAGTCCTATCTCTACCTTTCATGTTAGACATGTATTCCAACCGTCTTTTGCCTTTAATCTAGTGCTCGTGCAGCCAGAAGGGAGTTGGGTAACAGAAGATTTGTCATCTTCTTTCTATTTCCTAATACATTAGCTTTCCTGGGGACTCCCCTCACCTTTTGCCTAATAGCTAGATCCAGTGCAAGGAAGATGGTGGAAAACACTGTTCATATACAGCCTATAGTTTGAGAGATTTCCCTCTTTCTTTGTCTGCTATTGTGTGAAAAAAAAGGCCGCTTGTGGTTCTGTTGTGCTTGCACCTCTACCTGTGTGACAGCATGTAGATGTCAACAAATGTGGATGTCCTATTCCTGCTGTTCTGAATATTCCCCCACTGCTCAGCCCTTTGCCAGCCAGAGAGTATTTTGTGACTGTTTTTCTTTTGTCTGTATTCCATGATGTTTCCTTAGAGAAGCCACTTCTGCAAGACATCTTGGAGTCTCCCTACTTCTTAATGTTTTTACTCACCTGCACTCTGAAGACAGTAGAGCAGGGACTGGCCTAGCACAGCCGTGTGCAGAACAAGCCTCTGTGTTTCCTTTCAGGGGACTCTGCGTAGATGCCCTCATCGAGCTGTCAGATGAAAATGCTGACTGGAAGCTCAGCTTCAATGAATTTCTCAAGTGCCTCAGCCCATCCTTCAACCCACCAGAGAAAAGTAGGAACTCCTCACTTATCTTGGGGAACAAGAGGGGTCCTGGGAAGGGAGCAAAGAAAAGAGATCAGCTTCACGCCAGACATCGGGTGCTGTAACTCCACTGCCATAGATAATTTTAATATATGCTTGCCTCTCATCCAACAGTACTCATTGTCCCTGCATTGTTGAAAGCACTGCTTTCACTGCCCCAGAGCTCCTGCACTTCTTGTGATGAGAAAGGTTTGGATTTTAGAAGCAAGGATGTAGGTTGAATGGGTATGGTATGCTTGTAAGGTCAAGGCATGTATTTAACAGTGCAGAGGTTAATCATGTGAAGAGTTCACAGCCAGATAACTTAGGAAACCAAAGTCCTGCTATGCTCTGCCTTTCACAGAGAGCCCCCCTGGTGACCATCTCAAAGTTCACTATCCTTCCAAATCATCTCCCCAACTTATCCGCACCCTGATCAGAATAACCCAAGCTTTCATTTCAAGGATTCTTTTCTTTGTATAACAGATAAGGAAATTCAAACAAATCCAACACTCAGATTTCATTTGAAATTGAGAAATTGAAATGTGTTCTTCTGAGAAAGAAAAACAAAGGATTGACTTTCACAATTTATACTTTGGCTGATTTCATTCACCAAATTCAGCATTAATATTTTAGTCATGAGGACTGGTGGTTGGGAGAAGGCAGGCTTCCCCTTAAACTTAATCTTCTCTCTCAAGGCATGTCCAAAGTGTGTTGTCTTTAGCCTGCTCGCTCTCTCACAAGCACTGCCCTTGTTTTGTGCCTCTTCAGAGTGTGCCCTGGAAGATGAGACCTATGAGGATGGAGCAGAGACCCAGGTGGAGTGCAACCGCTGTGTCTGTGCCTGTGGGAACTGGGTGTGCACCGCAATGACGTGCGAGGGTCCGTATGCTCTCCAGAAAATTACTGTGTTTGGGTTTGGACAAAAGGAATTCTCACTCTCTGTCCTTCTGAAGGCATCAGCTATGCAGGGTTCTTCTCTCCAGCTTTTCCACAGCTTCTCCATGGGTGGTTTCTGCATAACCCATAACCATATGTTCCATGTTAGTCAAACCCAAGCTGGTGCTGTTCCACAGGTTAGAAAGTGTGTAACTGGGCTAAGGGCAATGCTGCTGGGGTTTGTAGTTTGGATTTGGTGTCATGAAAATTCAGTACTAAATTTTCCAGACCAGAGCTACTCTGCATCCAGCTGGCATAGACCAAATAGGTCACTGGCTGCTACTGTATGTGTAGTGTGAGCAAGTCGGCTTTCCTGTATATCCTCACTGTATCTCTGTTTATGGAATTTGTAAAACAGGATCTAGGATCCTGTATTGATCAAGAAGGGATATAGGAACCTTTATCCAATACCAAGAAAGCACTTTAGCTTCTTGCCACAAAAGCTGTAGAATAATTGTGATGAAGGGAGGTGGTGCTCATAGTAAGGCAGGCTTCCTCCTTTGGAAAGCCCTTAAACTTACACAGCCACGCTACAATTGTGAGAGGTCATGGGGCAGTTGTGAACAACAGCTCTGTTTCACCTTCTCGCAGGTAGTCCAGGGCCAGTGGAATGCCACTTTTGCCCTGTGTTGGCAAATGTATGGGTCCTTCCAAAGGAGCCGCATCCATCCTCCTAGCATGGTGCTAGATTTTTCTGGCCTTCTACCCTAGAAACACAGCCCTTGCTGCATTTTTATATCATATTTCCCTAGAAACCAGGCCCTTGCAGGAGCTTTGTTTCAATGCTCTGTGGGACCTGCCAGGAGTACGCTAGTTCAGATCTATTGTCAGTAGCTTGGGCAGAGTAAGAGAGAGGGACACAGCAGCAATGTGTACAGGGCTTTTCACGTTTATCTGATCTTCTGCAGCAGAGGCTTCAGGATCATCTCAGCTCAGACTTAGCTGTAGCAACAGGAACTCAGCTGAGAAAAGACAACAGTAGTATTAAGAGAGCTGGCAGAGGAGCTGTGTGCAGGTGTCATAGATGAAGCAACAGAATGAGAGACTCTTTCTTGCCTCCCCAGAAACAACCTTCAAAGTTGCTATGCAACACCTGATCTTGCTGCCTACTTTGTTCCCTGCATCCATGACAGAAGCATACAATGGGATAACAATTCCTTGACTTTCTGCCCATGTCAGAGGAGCAGAGAGGATAGAGGCTATTGTTAGAGGCATAATAAAACTGAAGATGAAACACATCAGCAAATTACATCTTCATTGGGCAAAACTACCTCTTCATTAGGTATCAGTTATTGTACTTGGGTAGCACTGAGCTTCCATTTATCCCCTACAAGAGGCCAAGATGCTTGAACTAATTATAGGTGTTTATTTTGAATAACATGCAGCCTCTTCCATGTGGTTTTATTATCAGTTACATAGGTGGGAGAGACAGGGACAGACTGCACACCCAAATTGTGAAGTCCTAGGCAGCCACAAGGCCTGTTCTCTTTCTAAGAAGCCAACCCATACCATCTTCCAGCAAAGGCTTCCTAAGCTTGATTTATGCTGTGGCTGACCTGCCTCTCTTTGTTCTTCATTGTTCAACATCTGAAATCTGCAACCCCTATTTGTGAAACACTAAACTCCATTTCTGCTTCCAGGGAGGAATGAGAAGGTACCTGCTCAGACACACCGAGCTGATCAAGATTTGACTGAGGAGGAGATGGCCAGATACGTTGAGGAACTGCAGAAGCATCAGGTTAGCATGAGGCTGGGAAGTTATGCTTGCACTAAGCCTCCCCTTGCCAGATGGGTTTCTTCTGTTTCTGTCGCTTGGAGACTTTTGGTAGAAGGGGGAACAGAGTAAATCTCTTGCTGTGGGGACAAATACAGGTGTGAGGCTTTCAGTTAAAAGCCGGTGTTGGCACTGCCTGTGGATGGACCAAAGACTCAGAGCATTATCAATTCCTGTGTCAGCGCAGAGCTTCACTTCTATGCTCTCTTTCTCTAGGAGACGGCTGAGAAGACCAAGAGAATGAGCACCAAGGAGATGTAAGGGGCCTCCACAGCGGAGGAGCCCAGGAGGATGGGCCCAACCTGCCACCCTGTCCTCCAGTGCTGATCTCAGTATGCACAAGTGTCTGCTACAGTTGCCCAGTCACAGATATTTACATGTATAACGATGGGTTATTTGTTTTGTAATACACAAAGAATGGGGCCAGGAAAGGGGAACAGAGTCCACCTCTTCAGGGAGCTTAATTGCTGGGACCTTGGAAGGCTGGGAGGGACTTAGAGCAGCCTCTGGGACCCTTTCCCAGAGCAGACAGCTGCTCCTCCAAGAGCTAACAGGGATTTCTTGTTCCCCTGGATCTGGGGAAAGGATGGAGGTCACTGTTGGATAGAAAAGGGGGTCTTCAGTCAATACAATTGTCAACACCAGCCTTGGCTGCACAAATACAGGCCTGGCAGTTTTGCGGCTGAACACATGTGCTGCAGGTCATCATTATCCAAGGACCTTACCCTTTGCTTCAAGCTCCTCAAAGCTGATCATCCTGGTATGACACCTGGGAGTCGTGGTGCCATGCTGCTGGCATGAGTCCAGCACATTCCTCCTTGCTTTCCACCAGACTGTCCCCAGCAGCTCCTCCAGTACAACGTAGGCTCCAACACAACATGGTTCCTTTTGACCTCATCTCACTCTTACTCTCCCTGCCCCTTCCTTAGAGGTGCTATCGTATTTTTTTCTTATCACATTCACATGCTGACTTCCCCCTTTTTTTTTTGTTTTAGGTTTTTTTAATATTTTATTTCCTATGGTAATGATTCAGCTTTTGTATGTTCTGTAGCTCTAGATCTTTCAAGAAAACCCAGCGTGTGGGGTTTCTGTTGTTGACAGTGCTGTAATGCCCGTGCACAGTTTGTATTGCACTGCACTCAGCCGCCACAAGCACCATGGGGGAATTGTAAGCCTTGCGCTACAGGGTATTTCCCAGCTGGAGATATTGTCCCTCTTGGAAAGAAGAGATAGGGCTGGATGTAATTAGTTTCACCAGTCACAGATTGCCACTGCAGCTCTCTAGCTCTCACTCCCTTAGCTAGCATTGACCATGAGCTCAAAGTCTGTGCCTTTCTAATTGCTCAAAGCAGTCTAGGGACAGAGGGACCAGGCAATCCCATTAGTACAGTGTCTTAAAAAACTTAACTATGTAGAAAACTGTTTAGTTGTGCTGGTGGCATCATCTTCCTCTGGGTGAGGCAGTAGCATTATTATTTGATTACAGGTATGAGTTTGGAGTCAGGGCTGGAAGCCTAATTACTGACGCATTTCTCAATGTCATTGATCAGACCACCTTTGACCACTCTCACATTCCTTCATAGTTCAGTTTCATCCCACACATTTCTCAGAGCATTGGTCCTCGATGTAAAAGAAATGCTGTTTTGTTGATAGTCACCTCTGTAGCCTGAAGCCCAGCTGATTTTCTTATGCAGTTGTCAAATGTACTTTGTGCACAGCTGAACATCCATGTTCCCTTTCATGCCTGTGCTGTGCTTCCCAAGCAGTTGCATGTGCCCTGATCGACTGCTTGTGACTTCCATCTTTCTGTTTGTGAGCAACTTCAGTGGTTGTTGCTGTATATCTTGCATCTGCAAAAGCTTGTCTGGATTGAGTGAAGATCAGCAGGACTTTTGTCCCAACCTTCCCTTTTTTGCACAGTGCTTTCCTTGGAGAGGAGGAACGAGCTGTTACCTAGAAGTATAGGAAAAGAAGAAAGCTTGGTTCCTCCTGTGCTCTTTCCTGTGAGACAGATCTGTTAAAGGCTGTCTGGTCTTTGAGCTGTTTTCCTGATGTTAAGCCAGAGGATTTCCATTGACTCTGGTATAGTGCCACTTTTCCAGTGAGAATTATAATGTACCCTGCCATGGAGGTTTCGGCATCATAAATACAGAAGGAGACTGGGGTGTTTTTTCTCATGAGGGCCTGAATTTGAGCAGCTGTCACCTGTGAAGGTGAGAGGAATGAGTCCATATGAGCTGAGAGTAATGTGGACAGTGCTACACTGGGACAGAGTTATTGTGTTCTGGTGGCACTGGAAGAAGTGGTTGGTGAAATAGGAGTACCCATTAGACATAGGCTTGCTCCTTCTCAAGAGTATGAGCAAAAGTAGATGCTGGATCTGGAGTCACAGGAACATTGTTATTAAATGTTTTGCTTTATTCCAGCCCTGCTCTAAAAGGTAGTTAGTGCCTCCCAGATCACTTCCTTCCAGCTTGGGTTGTTAAAGTGCCTTAGAGAAAACTCAACAGCATGCCTTAAAGACATTCCCTGGACCGGGGATAACATCTTGTTCAGTCAGGAATATCTCCAACTGTGAAAACCAGAGCACATGCAGGAAGGGGAGGCGAATGCACGGCTTCAGGGCTTCTGTAGGCTGCACTGTGATGTGTTCTCTGTGCTGTGGCTGTGCAGCCATGTAGATGGGGGTGGCTGCTGGGGCAGAGATGTGTGCTGGCAGCTGAGTTTTACAGAGCTTGCTCTTGCACTGAAGGTGGAGGGACAGGCTGTGGTCTCCGGCAAGCTGAGCTCTCCGAGAAGCCATACAACAGATCCCAGGGTAGCCTCGGGCAGCAGGCTGGAAGTGCAACAACAGTGCCTCTGGAAAGGGCTGCTGCCTGTGGAACCTTTTCCTCTTTGTGCCCCACAAAGGGACACAGTGGAAAGCGGGTCCTGTTCTAAGGGCAGCAGTTCTCAAAGGAGACCAAAACATCTTGGCTCCCTGCACAGAGAGGAAGGTTAGCCCAGACTGAGCAATGCTCAGGCTTCTGCAGTCTGGTCAGTCCCTAACTTCTGCAGGGTGACTTGGCTGCTGGGGAAGGAAGTGCTGAATTTCAGCCATTGCCCTCTGGGACTACAAGGGGCAGGGAAGGTGTTTTGTTTTGTTATAATTTTCCAAAAAAACCAAATTTAAGCAACAAACAAAAAAGTCACACTCCACCCTCTATATTCCCTCCTGTGTGTGTGTGAAATTTATCAGTATTCTGTAGGTTTCCTTAGTGCACTTATTTTACTTGATTTTGTAATTTTTTTGAAGCAGGGGCGTTTGGATATTACTGCCAAATAAATGAAACAAAATTTTAAAAATAACATTTGTTTGGTTTATTTTTCACAAGCCACACAACTTGTTTTCAAAAAAAAATCATCTGTATTTGCACATTCATACACAGATCTCAGTGTATTGGACAAATGTGAGACGTGATTGTTTTATAGCTGAGGAATCAGGTGGAAAGAACCCATAGGCAAGTAAAAACAATAACTAAAGGCCTTGAAAATGTGACTGAATGGTGAAATAGCCTTCAATGGTGTTGTATGACAGGAGGAGGTGTCCTACTGTTCATCTCCCCTCTAAGTGTAATGCCACTGCTGTGAGTGCTTCTGTGCAGATAATGGTCTGACAGAAGAGAAAGCTGCCTTGCTTTGTTCCACTTGGTGTGCTCCTTCCAAAGCTGTTAAAAAAAAACAAAACAAAACTGAACAATTCACAAACATTGGCTCTTCCAATGTTATTTTTCACACCAAATGGCCTCTTTAGCATGTACCAGCTGCTGCACATGCAGTCTTTTCTGTGGCATTCCCTGCCCATTCACTGCTCAACTGCAAAGTAAGGCTGTTTTATTACTGCAATTTCTACTGGGAGAATTTCCCAGGATTTTAAGAAGAAATTAATGGAAGCGGCAGTCACAAATTTAGCTAGGTGGCACTACAAATACTTTGCCTTGTGCTCCATGCATATTTACTGAAGTAAAGTGGTTTTGAGGTGGGAGAGAGGAAAAGCAAAAATTCTGTTGCCTGCTGCTTGTAGAGGCCTGGGAAAAGCTCTGACTTGTTTATGGAGTTAAGCACATCTGAGTATTAAATTGCTGCACTATAGTTATATACCCTTAATCACAATTCTCCAGTGCTGTTAAACTTCAGGTTGAGAAACAGGCTATTTAAGTGGTTGATCAAGACTCTGAACAGCATTTGTAAGGTATTTATTAACTTCAGTTCTGAAGACAGGAGCAGACTGATCTATAATAAGACTCGGTTACTGAACCATGTCACAGGACACACCTTGAGGAGGACCAGCCTTAAAGCACTACAGAAGACAAGAGCAAAATCCAGATGACCTTACTCTTGTGCTTACATAAACTCTCCTAAAACTGTCCTGGAACAGCACAATGTTTGTAGAGTGGGGAAAATTATGTTGATAAGAAGTTAACGATACTGGTGAAGTGTCTGTTCTGCAGCTATCTCTGGGTTCACATCAGGGCTTATATTTGTGAATCTACAGACTCTTGGAAAATAAATGAAACCAGTCCAATGGAAATTGACCTGTTCATTCCTACCCACTATGGCACACTTTTTTGAAGGCTGGACATAGCCCTGACAACTTCCTCCTCTCAGCAATGGGAGCTGTCACATGAAAATATTTGCAGTGGTAAAATCCAGAGTTCTTAAGAGCACCAAAGGAAAGACAAGTGGACCATGGGTTTCGTCCAGAGTGTTCTGGACACTTTTGAAGTCAGCATTGTTGCTACTTCATACCTTTTAAATTCTTGGCTGGTACATGCAAACTGATTTTGTTTGTGTTTCTTCCAGTCTAAGATGACAGAGACTTTTGTGTACATGAAGGGTTTTGAGCAGGTGGGAGGTTGCTATTCCCTTCTTTTTGGCTTCTCTATGCAACACAAGGAAGCAAGTTTGCTTCTGAAGCCTGGACTTAGTCGAGGCAAAAGTTCCTGTGGGTTGTGAATCTTCTCATTTTTATCCCACATAGCTACTGTTTCTTCTGATGATTACTGATAATTACTACTGTGTTCAAAGAGCAATGAACTGAAATCACAGATCCTGACTTGCCTGTTTGTATATGTACAGTAAAACAGGGGTCAGCTCCATGTCGATCAGTGACCAGCATCAGATCGCTTTGCCTGATGGACTTGTGTGTTATGGATTAACTCCTGCAATGCCCTGGCTCAAGACCAAAGCTGTCTTTTCACATCCAGGCAAGGACACGAACTGAGGTACTTCTGGGAGTACCTCCGTTTTGGTGCTCCACAGCAGAAGCTCAAAGAACGACGAAGCGTTTTGGCTTGCAAGTGACCTCAAAGATCGCTCAGTTCCAACCTCCCTGTTCTTCACGGACCAAATCAGACCCAGCCTTGGACAGAACACCCGCTGACCAGGGATGCTGGGCCAGGCTCTCCCACCAGCTGCCACAACGGGGAGGCCATGTGGCACATGGTCTCAGGCAGCATCTCTCCTTGGGTCTCCGAAGATGACCAAAAGGGACAGAGGAAAGGGTATGGTTTCGTGTTACGCTTAGCAGCCCCGGTGTCCCGAGCTTGGTGTAAAACACTTGGGAGGGAGCAGGTGGCATTTTCAGCCGGCGGTTCCGCATCAGCCCGGCAGGCCAGGCCCGCCGAGTGCGGACTGTGGCGGAATCCGAGACCGAGCTGCGAGAGCGCGCAGCCACCGCCGCGGGGCCACCTCCCGCCTCGCCTACACACCGCCCTCCCATGCTCGTTCCGGGGCCGCCGAACGCTCCTTCTCCCTCCACGCCCCGCAACCTGCATAAGAGCACTCGCCTCTCTGTGGCCGCTGTGGCCTCGGCCGGCGGCGCGCCCGGGATCGAACATGACGCGGGGGGGGCAGGGGGGGGAAGGGGGCGGTGGGGCTATGCAGGTTCCGGGGCGGGGCGCGGAAGCCCTCGGGGTGACGTGCGGGGCCGTCGATCGGTGTAGGCGGGATGGCGGCGGCGGGCTGGGACGGTCCTGAGCTGGAGCCGAGACCAGAGCTGGGGATGGAGCCGGAGCCGGAGCCTGATCCGGAGCCCGAGGCCGAGCCGGCGCTGGCGGCGGAGCTGTCGGCGAGGCGAAGCGCGGAGGCGCGGCGGCTGGTGCTGTCGCCGCGGCGGCTGTCGGGCCCGCTGCCCGCCGGGCTGTCGCAGTGGTTCCCGGCGCTGGAGGTGCTGGACGTGAGCGGGACGGGGCTAACGGAGATGGGCACGGAACTGCTGTCCCTGCCGTGCCTTCACACGTTGCTGGCCAAGAACAACCGGCTTGGCGGGCCCGGCTCTTTGCCTAAGGGGCTGGGCCAGGCGCCTCTCGCCCGCTCCCTCCGCGTCCTCAACCTCAGCGGGAACCGCTTCTCCGAGGTGCCGCCCGCGCTGCTGCAGCTCCGCGGGCTGCGCAGCCTCAGCCTCGGCGGCAACCGGCTCCAGGGCATCCCGCCCGACATCCAGGAGCTCCACAGGTGAGGGACGGGCCCCGCGGGAGCAGGGACAGCCTCGGCAAGCCCGGCCAGGTTTTCTGCCACGCTCCCCCTCGGGGGGTTCAGTTCTCTGCAGCCTCAGGTGTCTCCAGGCTCTGCTGCCGCTAACGTGGCTCTTCCTTTTCGTCATCTTGAGTTACTAAAACTCCAGGACGTTCTTTAGCTCATCCACATATATATATATATATATATATATAT